GGAACATGAAATTTCCTCCGATAAGAATGACTCTTCCGCCGTTTTCATAGCCCTCCTTTGAAGGAGAATCCCAGATTTTGAGCTTGGCAACTCGCAGGGAGTACTTCTGTCTTGAAAATGTCATACACATCACCCCTACTAGGTATTTCAAGTCTTGCAATCTTTGAGCGTGCCCTTCCAAACAACCGTGGTAAGGGTTGATTGTTATTTCCTTTGGCATTATACTTAGCATCTGATGAATCTGCCTTCTCTTGAGCAGAGTTTTTACCATTATGCGCATCAATATCTTCGTGTTTTTTATTGATTTTGGTAAAAGCTTCTTCTTCGTCTTCCATTGGACTTTTCTGAATAGAAGGGGACAAGAATAAAAAATCAGTCTTTATTTTATTTTTGACATCGATCAAACTTATCCTATTAACATTATCATTCTCAGATTTTGATTTAATCTTAGGACGAATTATAGAATAACAAGTTTTCCAAGCAGCATTGTAACAAAGAGCTTCTTAACTTGGTACAATTTTTTATATAGGTCTGTGAAGGTATGGAAAGAACTCTAGGACTAAGAAGTAAGTAGTTAGCATCTTTACCTGCACATTAGTGAGGTCTATATTGTGTTCCCCGAGGAATGACATGAACTCCTGAAAATTTTCCTCCGTTGGGAGATAGTGTCCGCTGTGAGGCCAAACCGCCTATCCACTCAAAATGATCATTATTAACATTTCAAACTACTCTAGGATAAAGAAAGAATTTGTAACCAACCAAGGTCTCTAAAGAGAAAAATCATAATGGTTTCCCTTTCACTACCTTCAAATTACCGTCTTCTACAACTAATCTTCCAGCTGATAATGTAGCTCCACCAGCCAGAAAGCTTGAATGCTGGAATGTGCCCTTGTTCTTCTCACCAACGTACAAGGTCTTGGATGTACTTAGAACAAATATCCATTTTGTATCTTTGGGACCCTGTGTGGTATCAAGAATTTTCCCACTCTGCTTGTAGACCAACTTCTTATCCTGTACTATGACTTCATAGGCTTGCCTTTCAGTCTGCAGTTCAAACCAAATCATTTAATAGAGAGAATTGATCTCAAACATATCAGGAAATTAAACAATTTTATTTGATGATAAAAAATGAGTTGAGTTAAACATTCTCCATATAGCAACAGGGCATTGCAAGTTATATGGAATGTATTCATTGAGGAAACTGCAAAGAGAGGAGATAACTCACTGGACCAAGGTACTTGATACATTGTTGATGAAGCTTGTGTCGAGGGCAGTGTTCAAGGTTGACTTCTTTTCCTTCTCCTAAATCCAGCCTACATTTCCAAAATCAAATTACCCATTTATCATTTGAATGTTCATGCACATATAGACTGAACTGAATCGATGAGAAAATAAAAGAAAAATCCTGTTGATAATTTTTCTTTTTTTCTTTTGTTCAATATTACCAGTAGAAAAATGGTTGTCTGCTGTCACAATGGAGCCAAGCAACATAATAAAATTGCAGATTATGACCGTATCGATGGCGAGGATCAATCTATATGTTATGGGGGAGAAAGAAAACAGATTCAGGAGTGGGAAAATGATGAGCACTAAGGTAGTATTTGTTGAAATTCTCTTCCAAAGTTTTCATTTAGAAGAATATGACTTACTGCTTCAAGCCAATGTTGTAACGCAAGTTTCCTAGCTTTCTCATCCTTAGATAAGCCTTTTCCCACCTGCAAAGAGGACAAATATTCTTGACTGTAGAAGAGTGGGTGCGCGAGAAACATAGCACACACAGAAGTTTACATATTCGCACATATTCTTGTTTATAGAATCTTACCTTGGCAGCTCTTGTTCTAGCTCTAGACCAGCGTGAAATCGCAGTCTCAGGTTTCTCAATGTCGAAAAATGAGATAGAGCTTCGCTTAAGTTCAGCAAAATCTAACAACTTCCACCTACATAAAATAACATTACAGACGGAAGATATATAAAGAAGAGACAAAGATGTTTGAACATAGAGATGGACTAAAAGCTGTGTACCATCTTTGCTCAACAAGAACCGCACAATCAGCGAGTTGTCTTCTAGTTCTGAAACTCTTGTACACTTTCTGTAACTTTAGAGCAGCATTGTGTCTGTGATGGTCTTCTATAGATATTTCTAGATGAGAATTTCTCTTGCGCATGCTATTAAGTGTCCTTAACTCGTCGCTAATATCCCAATTGTTGGAGCTCATAAGTCTGGCAAATACTTGATCTTCCATGGATGCGGTGGGAGTCTTGAATGACAACATGGTCTCGAGTTGCCTCTCTTCTTCAAAGCCAAGGGATCTTCCAAATATCATTTCCTCGGAAGCACATGTTTTCATTCTTGTTGGTTTTGAATCATGACCGTTGAAACTCAACGTCCTCAAAGCAGTTCTTACATCTCCAGACCCAAGACTGAGAGATCTTACAAGAACAGCTTCAAAACGTTTATCCAAATCATCAAAATCACTAAGTGGGCATGAAAAAGATAATCCCATTTTCGATGTTGTCTCTTTTTGGTATCTCCAAATTTTGATATCTTAACAACAAGATATCTGGCTTTGAGATTACCTGTTAAAATGAATAAGTAAACTAATAATTTTTAAAAATTTAAAAATTATTTCTTAGACATTATTAGCGTACATAAATTTATGTTCTAAAAAAGAATTATAAATACAATTCGTTATGTTTCAGCAAATTTGTATCGTATTTATGTTGTAATTCTATATCAAATATCGATTTCATAGCATCATAATAGAGTTAGAATTAGACTAAAATTCAATGTTAATGTTTGAAAATTTATAATTTTCTTTTAAAACGTACGGTTATATAATATTCTAATCCATATTCCATAAAATTAGAATTGAACTAAACTTAACATTAATGTTTGAATATCAATTTTTTAAAAAATAACACTAAAAACAAATAATTGAATGAAAATCTCTTGCTGCATTCCATTGATCACTATTTGGTAATTTTTGGTTTCTCAGTAATATTTTTAAAAAAAATCAAATCATACTTACAAATAATATGTTTCAATCATTCCAACCAACAAATATAATGGAATTCATCACCTCTTTCTTCGCATCCAAACACAAGCCCAAGAAAAAAAAGAAGCATTAAATCATACCTTGATCTCAATCAAATGGAGGCAGAGAGATGAGAAGAAGTAGAAGTAGAAGAAGAAGAAGAAGATTGAAGGGCAGATTGACTCTCAAAAGAAGAACAAAAAATGAGACAGAGAGAAAAAGAAATGAGATGGATGAAAGATAAAAGATCAAAAGAAGGAAAAAAGCAAATGAGAGAAACCTCTTTGCTGTACAACGTGAGAGAAAGAGAGAGATTGAACAATGTGGGATAACATTTTGTTTTCTAGTTTGAGAGAAAATCTTCAAGGTAATTTCTCTCTCCCTCTCTCTTTCTCTCTCTCTTTCTCGCTCTCTCTAGTTTCTCTTTCTTTAATGGGAGTTTGTTTGGGGAGAAAGAAAAAAAATTTCTGGTTCTTCGAATACCAACAACAATTCGTTGGTTCATTTACTATTCTTGCAATACATAGATGGAGAGTTAAGAACCTCAAGAGAGCAACTGTTATAAGTGTTATATTGGCTTTTGTTTGAAATATCTCTCCAATTTTTTTTTTTTC